ATATATATATATCAAAGCTATCGGTAAGAAAACTTGAGAACGTTCTATTTTGTTTATTTATCTTAGCATATCCTTCGCATAATAATATCAATGTATGGTAACATACTTTATTATATTTTTCTATCTTAATTTTTAATTTATTCCATTTAAATTTATTAAACACGTGATTTATGATTTCTTTACAATATATTTTAAAACATTTAAAAAATAAACATATCGAAAAGTGAGAGACGACATGAAACATGAATAAGGACATGCAACATAACACTTCTATTGCATAAAATTATAAAGAACCTACGTAAGAATTACAAAAGAATTTATCACATGCATCATAAAAAAAGAATTAAAATATATCATTGTCATATACACAAATTGAAATCTTATTTTTATGTGAATCTATGTTATGTAAAAATAAATGGAAATTGAAGTGTTAGAAAATATTTAATTTTTGGTTACATTTTTAAAAGCTACAAATATGAAAGTGATTAGAAGAAAATGAATTTATTATCAAATAAGCACATTGATGATACTTGATGTTATAAAATTAACCAGACTCCTTTCAATTAATAGAAAAAATTATGAACTTATTCTTCTAAGCCTAGAGATATTCTCTTCATTAACTAATCATCATAAAAAATAAAAATAAAAAATAATAATAATAACTCAAACAACACTAAAATCACTCAAAAGAAATAAAAACACAAATATAGCCATGAACTAAGTTGAGAGCGTAATTTGCTAGTCTGCAAACAAAAAAAAGTAAATATATACATAATGATATTCTACTATTTCAAATAACTGTAAAAAAATTTAATTTTGAAAACCACTATAAAGTTATTTTTAAGTGTGTAAGTACCGTAGAATTAATTGGATATAATAATTTATTATTATTTATTGACGATTTTGTGTAACTATGTAGAATTAATTGGGTCTAATTTTAATTATTGAAATGTGTTTATATTTAATTAATTAATTAATTAATTATTGATTTTTTAAAATTAGTTAAATTTTAAAATTTTGTGGTGTTTAAATGTGTTGTATCTATATTTATTTATTTCATTATTAATTATTTAAAATTTTAAAAATTTATAGTATTGACATGTGTCATTCATATATATATGAGTATTGACAAAAACTACTCTTAGTTAAGCAATATTTTTATATTTTATATTGATAGGTGTAGATTGGTACATCCATAATTGATTTGGAAATAATTCAACAAAACCAACAAATAATTGTTCTTTTAAAAATAAAAATTCAAGAATTTAATAAAATAAGGCATCGTTAATCGAAAGAAAATTCATTACATTACTTGTCAATTACATACATGATGAAATAAAATTAGTTAGTCAAATCACAATTCCTAATACCCACAACCAAAAAAATCTATAAAATGCACAATTTAGCTAACAAAAATAATTTTGAATTGATATGGTTATACTACATTTTTTACATATCAATTACAATAGCCAAAGAAACCAAATATAATGATGCAAGCATG